AAAAGCTTATGAAGATCATGCATACTTTACTGTACATATATACAAAGACCCATTTAATGACATGGTAAATGATAAACATCACTGAAATAAGTTAAATTTACTGATTTCCTAATATTGTAAGAGGAATACTCTCTTGGGTATTAAGTACATGACTTTGTAAAAGATCTGTAACAACAATGTCTGCCCATGCGAGGATTCCAGACACGTTTCCAGTTATTTTAAGAACTTCACATCCTCACCTAAAAAAATAAAAATACATTCCTTACCAAAAAGAACATCACGTATAATACACTACAATATAAAGTGGAATTAGGCTATTTACACTGCATGGCTATAAAGGTACCCAGCTATGTACAGTTAATAACTATATAATAACTATATGACCTCATGGACAAAGTTATAGACAATTACAAGGGGGCAATAACATAAGGATGGGGGAGGGAGGGGCACTTTAGGTAGGATCGCGATCGGGCGACCAAGCGGGACAGGGTGTAAAAGGGGGGCTGGTCGAAGATAACATTATGACACAGCTCATAATGTCCTCACAAGTCCCACGCTGATGTAATGGGCCTCAATCTTCATCGAAGTTCACTGACGGATAAGGCGATAGAGAAACCTGTAAAAATGCTCCTACAATTCTGCGACTGGAAAGTGCCCCTTCAAAGAAGAAATTGAACTCGGACTGTTGTGCAGCGGTCAGTCGAATCGGGCCACCCCCTGCAGAAATTGACCAAGTGTTAGCATCAGTGACGTCATATTATTGAATGTGGACCTGTTGGTTTGGTTCCACGTTTCAAGTGTTCTCGCGAAAGATCTTTGTAGTCGTGCACAATGACAGCTACTCTCTTCTTTCCTGTTTGATGATAGGGTAGGAGAGAAGAAAGAAAAAAAATCCGTCTTGACTGTTGACAGGGTTATTATTGCCTCTTTTTTGTTTAGATGAAGGGCTACCCCCTCGGGAGGGGGAGGGGGTGCAGGTATGCCGGGCCATTGAATCAATTACTTCTCTTTTGTTTTGTATATTGGGGGAAATCCAGATCATTTTGTCTTGTATAATTAATCTTACACTAATATATATTTGTTCAAGTTTGCTTATTCATCTTCATTGAAGAAAGTACATATAACAATTAACATAGTAATAAAGAAGTTACATACAACCCAGGACCGAGATTTGAATGACATTGGATGCATCTCATGCAGGTAAAACAATTACAATACACACTAACAAAACGAAAAAGAGAACATCATAACGTCAGTTTTTTTTTAAATGAAAACATTAATAATTCCTAACAAAACAACAACAAAAACACAATTTTAAAAATATTTTCTTAGTTAGAAATACCTCACTATACATTTATATACCGTTGTCATATCTATACATCTCTTCTTAATGAGTAATCAATCACGGGAACCTATCTCCCACAGAGAGAGAAAGAGAGAGAGTGCAGAGAGGGAGAGTTTGCAGAGAGGGAGAGAGAGAGAGAGAGATGTGCAGAGCGAGAGAGAGAGAGAGGGAGAGAGAGAGCGAGAGAGAGAGGGAGGGAGAGAGATAGAGAGAGGAGAGGGAAGGTCCCGTTATAACAATTATATACCGTTATACGTCTCTTAAAGGGATCCGGTAACTTTGTCTCAGTTCTGAAATAAAATCCTGGATTTTGCTCATGATGCAATGATAATTATTAAACCTTTAGGTCAGTCAGAGGAACCCATGACTTTTACAAGCCGATCGCCGGTCTGATTATCAACATATTTATGATTGAAATTACAAATTTTGAAAAAACGTTCGCCTGACGGTTTTCATAAACCTACAGTCTATGGGGAAAACGAGTATGGTAAAACCGGTCACTCAAAGATTTTTTACTCTTTTGAGGCACTTCTTGATCATTTTGAAGCACAATTTTTTTAGGGCTTCAATATTAAACATAAATTATCACAAACACTGATAACACGTAGGACCGTGTATCTCAGATTTAACATTGTTAAACGATCCCTTTAAAGTAATTTACACCTCCAAGTGTTGTGGTGATTCCAAGTGAGTTCAGATAGGCTGTAAAAAATAACATAGACCCACACAATATTCTTTTGAAATATTACTGATCCCATCAGATTTTTTCTTGGGGCGCTGCTCTACGGATGAGCCAAATATCAATTGAATGAGGCCTTCGGTGCATGTCGGAATAAGAAGAAAATAAATAAATAAAAAAAAAAAACATTTTAAAGAAATAAAATGAGAAGTATAATAAACATGAGGAGCTCAAGAAAATCTTACCCAAGCACCTCTTTGCCTTGTACAAGAACTTGTCATAGATGGAGTTGGATCCGTCAGGGTAGCGATAAGGTCCCCTGATATCCATAGAATGACACAGAAACAAGGCATCAACGCCACCTAATTCGAATTCCTTCATGTCTGCCATGTTGTAGGGAAGCGGCTCAAACTTCACACTCGCTGACTCTACGACGTCTGATATATTCCTGTTGATATATCCTATTAAGGCCTTGCACGCTGTCTTCACCAGAATTACTGCACACGACAATGTTCACTCGATCCTTTGTTCAATGAAAAACAAGATGGAAAAATAAGAATTTTTAGACACTGCATTTTAAACGCGTTACACCCATTCTTTTCTTTAGCATTGTTGTTTAACTTCCTTATTTTTCATTTTTTTCTTAACCATAACAACCTGTTATGCAGTGTCAATTATATATGCATATGATGTCATTCAGGGGCAGCGGTGCGTCTTTCAAAATGGGGGGAGGGGTACCAACAAAGAGGTCACTTTCT